ACAAATTTGGTAGACACCCATTAGAACATGTTTCATGCTAAATATCTTAGCTCTAGCTCTTTGGGTTCTTTAAAAGAAGATTTTATAAGTTTTTACTACATGCATATAGGGAAAATCAATGACCCCCTGGGGCCGGGCCAATTTTGACCCCAGGGCTTTTATTTGAACAAACTTGATAGACACTCATAAGAAGATGTTTCATGCTAAATATCTTAGATCTAGCTCTTTGGGTTCTTTAAAAGAAGATTTTATAAGTTTTTACGGAAAATCAATGAACCCCTGGGGCCGGGCCAATTTTGACCCCAGGGCTTTTATTTGAACAAACTTGGTAGACACCCATTAGAAGATGTTTCATGCTAAATATCTTAGCTCTAGCTCTTTGGGTTCTTTAAAAGAGGATTTTATAAGTTTTTACTATATGCATATAGGGAAAATCAATGACCCCTGGGGCGGGGCCAATTTTGACCCCAGGGCTTTTATTTGAACAAAATTGATAGACACTCACTAGAAGATGTTTCATGCCAAATATCTAAGCTCTACCTCTTTGGGTTTTTTAAAAGAAGATATTTTAAGTTTTTTCTATCGGTTGCCATGGCAACCAGAGTTCTGCATGGAATTAAATTCTTTGAACAATTTTTAAAGGTGACCACCAAAGGAACATTCCTGTGAAGTTTGGATGAAATTGGCTCAGTGGTTTATGAGGAGATGTCATTTATCGTAAAAGTTTATGGGCGCCGGACGAAAAGCAATCACAAAAGCTCACCCTGTCACTTTGTGATAGGTGAGCTAAAAAGCCAAAAAAAAAACCCAAAACACCAATACATAGAATATTAAATAAATATATGCTTTTTTTCAAATAAATCAAAGTACTCAAATAAGTACTTTCTGGATCAAAAATTGATGTAGTTCTTATTTTTTTTAACCCCTTGCATACATGAAACTTACAGAAAATATATAATACTATTATTCAAAATTATTCCTTCACAAAAATACAAATGTTCTAAAAAATTTGTTCATTCAATCTAACATTTCAGACAGGATTAATAAATCCCCAAAGAGGTTTATGAAAATTTGCATATGCTGGCTACACAGCATTTTTTTTTATCTTTTTCTTTTCTTTTCATAGATAAAGTTATTAAGAAAATCCCTGGCTGTTCCCTATCAGTACTAATTTTGTGAATGTACGTCTGCTGTAAATTTACATCTTGATAATACACAATTTGTTCTTATATTAAGTTTGACATTAAACATTATATACTATTTGCACTGGGAATGCTTTTTTTTTAATAATACAGCTTTGTAGATGGTGGTGGTAGTTTAGCCTTCGGGTCATGGCAGTGAGCCACTTTGAATTCACCAGAGCACAGTCCAGCCACCGCATTATTCCTGGGCAGGCTATCAAGTAGTAAACCATTACAAGCCGCCTTCAGTTTTAGGACCCAATTACTTCAGCACATGCCAGAGCAGAGGTACAGTGCAAATGATCAAAGACAGGATTTCATGATCAGTCGCAACGAAAGTGACCTGAACCACACAGATTGTCTGATTCATAGTCCAATGCTCTACCTATTGAGCTTAGACCAGATGATACCTTAAAGTGTAAACAAGGGAGGTAACTGTGTGCACAGTTTCATAATATCTATAACTGAATTTTGGGACTTGCAAACATAATTTAATTTTAGTGGTAGAAATATTGTTATAATCAAATTTCAAACATATAAACATATTTTATATACATGTATATCTTTTTTATTTTAAAATCATTACAAAATTAAATGTTCAAATAAGCTTTACAGACAAAATAACAAATCTAAACTGAAAATGTATTTAGTTATATTTACCTTAAAAAAAAAGGCAAGTTATTTTCATGCACAAAACAAATTACTTCCCACCTTGAATTAACATGTGCAGTAGTTTCAGCCTGTAACCAAATGCTGCATCTTGTCAAAAATTTAATTAACCAGTTAATGAAGTATGACAAATCTATCTATTTGTGACATATCTCTTGATTAAAGAGGGGGCTAGATGTATCGTATTCTGATACACTGTGACAGTAAACTAGGTTTCACTGTTACAAAATTGAATCACTATGTTCACCACGCTGGCTAGAGGTCAGGTGCAAAAACAAGAGGACCAAGATGGCCTGTAATTGCTCACCTGAGTAGATGGTACACATGAAGAATCATTATTAAGACATTGGTAATAGCCCTACCCAAAACAGGTAAACAGATGAGAGGGTGAAATGAATTAATGTTTATGTATGTTTTTAGTCTACAGGCAACAATGTTGTTTCTTAGACTATAATAATTTTGGCAATTTTTTTTTATAAATAAAACTCTTAGGTGTTTTCTGATGAATTTATTTAAAATTTGCTTTTCATTTGAGATGTTTGTATACAACCTTTATGTCTTGTTTTCACCAAGCCAAGGGAAAATCTGTGAAGTGCACTGTTTTCACAATTTTTTTTCAGTATTGTTCTTCCTCTTTCACAATCTAAAGTTAATAATGCTGAAACTTCACATTTTTAAGAAAAATTGTGCTTGTCTTTCACAATTAAAAAAGGTCCAGGCCTATTCACAATTGAAATTGTAAATTATGATAAGCCCCCTAAATATAAAAGGGCCCAGCATTTAAATAAAGAATTGTAGCAAATGTCATAAAGTAAAAAGTACTCTCCTGTGCACCGGTCGAATGTTCCTACCGTTTACTTTCTTAACGTAGTGTATTCAAGTAGGCTAGCTGCTAAGGGCACGTAAATTAAAAGATGCCTTAAAGATCATGTAAAATTTTAAATCATATTCACTTCAGTCAGAATATGATGATGATGTCTAACAAGTCATTTGTTCCACCAAATATTAATCATATTAATTTTGTGCTTCAAGTAGTAAATTGCACTGAATTCAAATAAATTGTCATATCAAAGGTCAAGGTGATACTTCAATTAAGCAACATGAATATTTTCTAAAATTGTTCTGTCCAAAAAAAGAATCATATCCCTTCATCTGTAACAAAGATTCAGCCATTTTTACGAAAATTCAATAACTTGCAAACAAATAACTTTAAAGGTCAAGGTCATTGATAAGTCAAGATCATTCTTTAATTTTGCTCCACTTGACATTTTTTCCTTATTGTTATATCATAATAGTGGTAGTTAGTTCAAATTGAATAATATCATTCTAATCATACAATCATGGCAATTTTAGCAAAATTCAATTATTTGGTCATAACTGTCAAGGTCATTTTAAGGCCAAGGTCATACCTGAATTTCTCACCATGAGTCAACATGTATGGGAAAAGTTGGTTTATTCCAGCATCAATTAAACTATTGGTCTACTTGAAGGTTTTGTCCAAAGGATTGTTGTGTATATGAAGACAATCCATTCATGTGAATAACAAACTAATAGTAAAACATCAAGATCATTGATGAGTGAAGGTTAATTTTTTTTTGGCTGCTTAAAGGTCTTGTCCAAATGATTGTTGTGTCCAAGTATGAATACTATCCAAACATCATTAACAGTTATAGCTGAAATGGCAACAGGAACAGACTAAATGACAGTTACATCAAATGCTCTTTGTTTCTAGCCTAGCTAATTACAAATGAAAGCATATAAGTAAGATATTAACCAATATCCATTTCAAAGGGTTCAAAAATAATACATTGTACAACCATCATTTTTATTCATACATCAAAGTGAAAAATGCAAGAAAAGAATAGTATTTAACACTCTTGTATGGGTGACTGTTTATCAAATATTTTAAAATTTGCACCTAAAAATGCACCAGAAGCCACCATTTAAGTAGTTTCATTTTTTTTCTTATGATCTTGTGACCTTTGACTTATATGTAGAAACCTGGTTAAAGCTTGCAACAGAACAACTCATGGTGTTGACAATTGTATCAAGTAATACTACAAGAACCGGTTGTTGCTCTCCAAGTAGGTTTTGGACACAGAAAAGAATACTTCTTAAAGTGTCAGAGTTATGTCCCTGACAAAGTTCAGTGTAAAAATGAACAAAGGGCAATAACTCCAAAATTAAGCAAGGCAGAGTTAAGGTTCTTTTGCACTGCACTTCTATTTCATGAGATCAATCTAGCTACAAACCTTTAATGGTTTCAGAGCTATGTCTCTGAAAAAGTTCAAAGTGAAAAAATTACCAAAGGGCAATATCTCCAAAATTAGACAAGGCAGAGTTGATGTTCTTTTGCACTGCACATCTATCCAATGAGCTCTATCTATGTTAGCATAAAAATCCCTCCATGCATATAGATTACACTCTGAACATTGCTTGGACACCAACAACCTGTCTGTTTTTATTTTATACATCAAATTTTATTTTAAATGTTGTATAAAAAAAGTCTTTTAGGAGTATCAAAATCCTGACATTTTAGATAGTACTGTACCTGAAAACTCCTACCCATTGGAGAACCCACGTGAGAATATGTTCTTTAAAATGTGGAAGTATTAAACATTTACAAAACAAATGTATGCATTCACAATAGCTCACCTCTTTAAAAGTATGTTTATATCAATATAGTTATCTTGGTAAGATTTAAGTAATTTTTCTTATAGTTTTAAATTATAATCTCTCTGTAGATGAATATATCACACAGACATGAGTAAAAACAAGCCTTTGCTTTCAAAACAGCAATTTCTTTTATTTGACTTTTTTCAAAACATGGTTCCTAAAGTAAATACTGTAAAATAAGTTAATAACACAATGTGCATATTTATAACAGAATTATAAATAGAAAGCATTCAAGCCCTGTGTCTTTGTTATAAAAATATGAAAACTACATTTGAAAGATTCATATTATTTTTGACAATGAAAATTCAATACATAAATGTATAATTTAAACCCTTAATCACATATGTATATGTGACAGCCTCTTTTATATCACAAAAAATTAATCATTCCCACGAAATGACATCTGCCAAAACTGTTTCAGATGCATCTACATGGACTGAACTTTTTCTTTTTAAGTCAATAATTTCCTATTTATCACTTTTTTCCTCCAGCACTTTCAGTTGTCATGTTTTTGTCAATAATATTTTCCGCAGGTTTGTTAATGCCAAAAAATCGTACGTATTTCCTCTCAAAGAATGTATTTTGCTTCAGCATTTCTTTTTGACAAGCTTCTGAGACAAACAACTTGCATTCTTCAGAATTTAAAATGAGAGAGCCGACAGTTAACTCCGGATACACGGGATACTTCTGGCTATATTTATTAGAACACAAATTTTCTAAACTTGTCAACATTTCATCACATTTTTCAGGGTTTGATATTTCTGACTGATCAGCTTTCTTAAAATTATCTCCAATCCTTTTTCTCAATAATAACCCAATATCACGTCTATCTCCTTTACTTGGGTCATTTGGCCATTGTTCAAGTATACGTAATGCACGTTTATATCTGGCAGCTGACATGTCTACTCTTTAAATACTTTTTACTTGAAAACTCTTCTCCACCTGAAAATATATACATGAAGATTTAAGTTAAAATTTTCAAATTTAATCCTGTTAGACGTGGATTGAATATTATCTATTAATAAACTTTGATTTATTTAGCAATGCAACTTGACATTTTCGTAATAATTAACATGTGTATGATGTTACACCTGTGCACCAATAAAAGCCTGGGTTCCAGTTTGTCGTTTTTTTTATGTTTCTGTTTGGCAAATCGACACTTTGATATATTATCAAACGACCAACGAATACGGAATAGCGCATATGTTATGAATAAAGAAAAAAATGTTATAAATAAGCAAAAACTATCAACGCCTGAATCCCAGGCTACACCAATAATTAACAATTTATAATATTCAATGCATTGCAACTATTAATACTTGAACTTATTTGCTGGTACTTTTATAATATTGATTAGTCTCAATATTTGGACTGCAAGACCGACCGATTTTATAACCTGATTTTTCATAGATGTCTGTGAAGGGCGACCATCATCTATATAATAAAAAGCCCTAAAGCGCACAAATTTCATTGTCTGAATGGATCATATCAATATTTAGCCCAAGACAGAAACATAAAAAAGTATGCTATTATGAATTTTATCATTAAATATTTTTTTAAAAATAGCTGTTGCCAGCTCCTCTACTTGTAATCCTGTCAATATTGCCCCACAAGAATTTTCGGTAGGCTAAATAGTGTGTAATTTTTAAATTCGAGAAAAACCGGTTTATCGCGAAAATATATTACAAATAATGAAATGTCATTAAAACTTAAAATAAAGTCAACTCACCGGCCGTTTCGAAACAGCAAATTTAATTTCTGTCACACATAGGAGATGTGCTATCTAATATCTGTGAATTCACAGTTAAATAACGCCTTCAACATGTTAAATAATAGAATATTTGAGGTGAAGGTCATACGGTCTCCGTCGGGAATATCCGGAAATTCGGAATACTTCGAAGATTTTCGTTCATCCAAAGTTTGACGGAAAAAGCCGAGAAGTTGAGAAGTAAAACTTTTTAAAGCGCGGAAAGACAAGAAATATGAGAACAAAGATTAGCCGCAGCACTTAAATTCCAGCAACACAGAACCACCGACACAGACTCAAGAAGGGCAACACAAAATGGAAAGTACACTATGACAAAGCAAGGTTGAGGTTTTCTTATAATTGTTTACAATGTAATAAAGGATAACTTAGGAAACTCAAGAAGGCCAACAAGCGCAAGTGGTAAAGAGATCGAAGAGCCATAGACCCTTTCATTTAAGCGATAACAGTCAGGGAAGAGTTACTTCCCTTACCGGATGTGACGTAAATGGGGATAAAACTATGCAGGCCGCATAGAATGTTAGCGAGTATTAATAAACGCAAATACACACACAGAATGTTAGCTTATTGAAATGTTAAAAGCGTAAATACTGATCGTTCAATTATGATTATAACATGTAAAAACTTACGCATGCATACATAAATTCAATATCAAGACAATAGAAAAAAATACAAAAAAAACAAAGATTAAGATAATTCTCGCTACGGAGTGAAACAGCAAAACTTCAAAGTGAAGATATTTATTACATCTAGATTTTCCCTAATGTCAGGATAAAAATCAAATTTTAATATTTTATAAACACCCATTCACACTGAAATTGCCTATTACAAATTTAAATGGCCATTTTCTAGTTTTCTGTGTTATTTTCTGTCAGTTTGAAAATTCCGGCGTATTTGTGACAAACATGAAAATAAGATTGCCAATGTCTTTGAATGATTGTTTTTCAAGCTTTTATAGAACAACAACAGAATGCATTCTGTCAATACTTACTGATTCTTTTTCATGATGCCGTATAAAAATATTTGAAAGAAAAGGTGAAGGATATAATTTTATAAATATTCGGAAAGAACGAAAACCATGTGGCATTGACTTTTATAATTTTAGATTCGCAACAGACGATAATAAGATAATTTTGATATTAAAAATATATTCTTATGGTAATAAAACTTAAGATCTTTTCCCAGTAACTTATTTCATAGATAAATAGATGTGTATAAGCGCCACTGGGCCGTAACATATTAATTGTTTGTTTGTTTGTTTCATTTTACGCCTTTTCAACAGTATTTCAGTCATATAGGCGGGTAGTTTCCTAACCATCGTTCCTGGAGAGTTACACCAGTACTAGACTACCTTCCTCCGCGCTAAACTACCAAAGCATCTCCCGGGGATCGAACCCACGCCAGAGAGGTAACTGGATTAGAAGTCATCGACTCTAACCCCTCGACCACGGAGGCGGTAACATATTAATTAACAGGGTGCATATGTTGTATATACAAGCGGCACTTGGCTGTGATATCATAAATCACCAGGGTGTATTTTTTAGAGTTATAAGAATTAGATTACGTCACTTTTGTAAGTTGTCAAAATATCTATGTCCGAAATTTGTTATGGTTCATCATAGGGACTTTATTGGCCATGCCTTACTGATTTTATGCTCGATCCAGAGTCCTATCAACTGGCACTGTCAAAAATGCGTAAAATTATAATTCAGTTAATAACGTATTTCTGTGAATGTGTTTCACAACTTGTTTTTGTTTTGTTTTCTTTTCTGATTTTTTTAAAATATTTGATAAGCATAGTATGAATTAAAAGTATCAAGTTGAAAATATTACTTTACCAGCTTAGATATATTGGTGTGATATACGATTTTTGAGAGTGCATTTTTTGCCGACACAAATAGTATACAGTCATGTACATTCAAAATAATTTTTACTTTATATGCCTTTACATGTTTTTTTTGAAATTACATAAATTTATATTGTTGTTTTTCTTTGTCTTAGTAATGCTTAAATCAAAATGATTTTTAAAAAACCAGTATCTTGCAATTAATTATTACGCAGCCGTCTTTCGAGACTACAGAATCCTTACATTTTTGAAACTCAAAATATCTTTTGGATATTGTATATTATTAATTAGCAGAGACATAGATACATTATCTATATCTCTGGTATTAGCAAGTTAGTACGATTTAACTGCCTTGTAAAATTTTCATTTTAAGAATCTAACGAAAATGGTAATCATAATCAGTTACCCAGCAATATGGTCTACTATTAAAACAAATCGTTAACCTTATCATAGTAAACATTTTTATTCATTTCACCATCCTTTTTATGTAATATCTTATTCAATTACACAAAGTTTTTGCAATTTCAATATTCCAATCTTACAAGAGAAAGAATTAAGATCTTTATATCCCTTTATTACTGGACACGGCCTACTGAATTTTCGACCCATATATCCTATAGTAAATCCATCACATTTAAGGCTAAATTCTGGACAAAACAAATCCGGTACCGAAACTTCATGACCATTTCTTTAAACACCAATGCAGTCCAAGTAAATTTAGCACAAAAAAATAATACATTAGCCCTTGGAGTTTTTCTGCAGCTTTTAATTTCTGTAATCACTATAGAATATTCCAAATAGTAACTGGTGTGTATTCTTGAGCATAGTGCCTCATGAAACCTTCCACCCAGAAATGAAATCCTGCAAAAATACATCAAAAACAACCTTTAAAGTACTCAGAAATGAAACTTCATGTACATAATTACTAAAGATATACTTAAAATATAACCAGTATCAATTAAGATGATATGAAATAGGCCATTTCAAAATTTAAAAGAACTACTTTCTAGACTACAACGGGCTGGGTCTAATTCCGTACCGGGGTGACACCTACTGTACTTAATCGTATCGGCATTGTCCACCGTATCCCCCAATGACGTCATTCAAGGGCGACAACTTGAATACGGTCTTAAATGAAAGGGTCTATAGACTAGAGACACAGGGACACATCTTAATTAATGAATACAGTTTGACACAGCCTTGGAAGAGACAGCAGCCAAAAAGCACTACTGGGAGTTAAATTAAACCGGTTAAAAGTGCACCAAACCTCATTATTAGCCCAAAATGTTCATATGAGACGAGACAGTGTAAATGAAATTATTCCCCGTCAAGTGAAATTCCTGGGACAAAAGATAACGCAAGAAATTCTAATAGTTGATAAGGTAACATACAAGTTAAAATTTAGTTGATATGGAAACATGTAAGTTAAAATTGATAAATAAAACACTGAAATCTGTAGTAAATACGAGTACATACAAAAAAAACCTTATAACCACAACAAAAGTACTCTATATGTCTCAAATGCCCATCAAAGACTTGGCTCGTCAGATGTTATCGAAAGAGGAAAGTATGCGTAGTATTCAACTTTAAAAGCGTTTAACACTAAAAGTAGTTTAGTTATAACCTCTTTAATTTAAATCCAACTTTAGATAATGTTGGTAGACAAAAAAAAAATTGAAAAATTACCATGACCCAACATCTTACAAAGTTCATAAACCAAATCTCCATAAAAACCTGTATCACACGCAATTTCTTTATTTGGGAAATATGAAAATAAATATATTATATTAAATTTACAGTTGCCGTGAATAACAGTTATATATACGTAATGACTATCCAGTGGTATTCGACTTGAGACGGCTTGAAATGCCATAGCAGGCATAATAACAGTTATCATGGCTGCCTTACCTACTCATTATACCTTTTTTGCGCCAGAAAGGGTGGAATGACCCTCATAAGACTTATAACTTAGTTAAATTCAGACTAGGTTATTCTTAACATTCTGTCTTTTGCCTTGGAAACAGTAAACTATACTTAACAAGGATAAAGACATGCTCACACGAACTTTCTTTCCAGTTTAACATTTTGCATTTCTTCTTAGATGCAGCTTTTTTTAAAAGAAATATAAAAATAAAAATAAAGACATAAATATATGATTTTGATACAAGTTTATGTACATTGCTTTCCCATATTTATTTATAAGAAAGTACGAAAAGCTTTATAAATTTATGTATTTTTTACCAGACGTTTTCTTGTTTTATTTATGGAAAAATTATGATTTGGTGAGAAGCATTTTTCGGCATCTTTTTATTCTTAGTCAAATTCATAATTATGCTTAGACTTTTGGGCTGTTGTCTGAAAAAAATCTGTGATATTTCACACAATGTGAAATCTAGCACAAATTCTGAATCCTTAAAACAATTTCATTTGTAACGGGACCCTGTTTGAAAATAAATTGCTATAATTCACATTTTATGCATTTTAGCATTTTCAGTTGGTGTAAAAACTTAATGATACGATATATATTAAGGCTTTCACATTCATTGACATAAATTGTAAAATGTTTCTAAATAAGTTGGAAAAAATGATATAAAGCGAGCCTTTGATATGTTTTGGCAACGTTTGTGAGATTTTTTTTATCACATGACTAAACGCATTAAGATTAAGTTTGGATGTTTGATGCGCTTTTGTACGCCAATGACATATAACACGTATGTAATATAAATAAATGCATAATGGTAATATTACATCCGAAAAAAAAATTTTACACCTTTTTCCGGCTATTTTTATTCATCAGTTAAATGCCTCCTTTGCTCTGAGTAATACCTTTTCTATAACTTTTAAATTTTTGTATCAAAATACATGTTTATAAAAGAAAAGACCACTAAAGGCGGGCAAAACCCACGAAACAAAAGCTTCAAGGTATTCATGGGTATCATTGCAATCTCTTACACTTTATATAGAACATTTATAAATAGATAACTTGTGTTAGAATATGTATATATGACATGGATTCGATAATACAAACACAACACAAATGTGTTGATTGTGTTAATTCGGCTCATGGCCGTAAAAAGTTGCCACGTACATGTAATCAAAGATGTTATATTTTCGATCCTTGAAGATCGTTCAGCACGACACAAAGTGTTTGTTGTAGTTGTAGTTCCTTCTATTTGATCTTTTTTATTTGAATGTTTCCAGTATTCCAACTTGAAAACTGTATAATCACGCTAAAGCTATGTTGCCTGCTTTTAAAATTTGTCTTTTGACTTCCTTTCAAAATTCCACTTTATTAGTTCCGCTCATTTAGGGCACACGCATTCATTTACTTGGGGACCATACGTAGCTTTTCATGAAATGGCACAAATGTATCACATTGGAAGTTCCATGATTACAGGCGCATAAACACATTTGTTTCTAAATTAAAAAAAGTCACCATTTTCTATCTTAAATATTGAATTCTGCTTGGGTCAGTGCTGGGAGCGCGGGGAACCTGCAACATTTTCAATTTTGGCGTTTTTGTGTGATTTAAGGATTCTGTTGCTTTTTCTTTTTCAATATCTGATATCACCACTGTCTCGTATAATGTGATGATTACATTTTAATGCTTTGATGCTGAAATATTTCAGAACTTTGGAAAACGCATTGTTCCGATGCATCAATGTGGCTCCATCATATGAAGCTTGTTGATGTAAACATGGGATAATCACAACGTTTCAAGTCAGTTCCCCGGGATTACCAGGATAGGTGTCACATGGACCTGACACAAGAACGACTGGAACCCAAGTGGGGCGTCGGTGGCGGGGTTAAGGTCGTTGACTTCAAACCACTTGCCTCTAACCACTATGGATTCGAATCCAGACAGGGACTTTGAATTCTTTTATGTGGGGAAGCTATCCAGCTAGCATATGGAACGTCGATGGTTCTACGCAGGTGCCCGTCCGTGCCTAAAATATTTTATGCAGGTGGCTACCTTAATTGGGTCTTCCTCCACAATCTCTTGGTAAAAAATCTGAACTGCTTAATTTCTAATTTCATTTTTTGTTTAACTTACATATCTTATTACACTTAAACACACTAATAAAACATTGATAACCAGGAAGTTTCTATTTATGACTGAAACTGAATATTTGTTTTTAACGGTGTTGTATCTAATCTCGTCAAGTTTGATGAGGACCAATTTTCTTAAATATCAAAAAGGAGACACGTGTAATCATAGCTGATAAAGCATAATAATATTTGTAATTTAATAACAGTAAAACGGGAAATTTTATAAGATACAGTTTGTGCGCAGTTATAAACATACCACGGGTAATTATGATGTACATATAAGTATAAATTAAGGCAAGAGAACTTAAAAAGTACAAAAAAGGGATAAATAAAATTGAATGTTCCTTAAACAGGGATTAAGGCTCATTTAACTCATTTAAAAATCATAGATATCACTAAATGTGATTTTCAAACTTTTTAATCGTCTTGGCAAACATCGAGTGATAACAGCAATTTCGCAACAAAGTGTTTTAAGGATTCATCATAATATTGAAATTTAATTATGTTTATTGAAAGGTAAATATTATATTTTTACAACGCTGATTTGAGGGTTTTCAATTATATGAAGCAACACTAATATTTTGTGCTGATGGAACTAGATTTGTAACTTACAGCAAGTGATATATTTTAATATGTAGGATAGTAAGTAAGCTGAACCACCAGGAAACCATATTATAAAAATTTGGATAATGAACATTACATTCATGTACTGCAAGTAGATGAACAGTGTTTTGATCTTATCAATTTCGAAGCGCTTGTGTCAGTAAAAGTGATATTTTAGTTTTTGAAAACATTACATCAGAGTCCCAACAAGTGAGAAACTTTAAACTGACAAATCAATCGAATTACTGCGTGTATGATCATTATTTCATTTGGAAGCAGAACAAACGTTGTACTCCAAACTCATGAAAATGTTCACTTTTAAATTAGAATTTCTTTTGGTACTTTCAATGTTGCCGCAGGAATCGATTGCTAAATTCAAATGCAAAACGTTTACAGACTGTAAAACGTGCACTCTCGACAAAAGTTGGAATGAAGAAAGATGTCAGTGGTGTCCTCTAGACCGCGAATGTCACGACCCATCTTCTTCTGAGAATCCATGTTTGAAAAATTTAAATATTGTAGATCCAAAATTGTGTAGGGAAAATAAGTATGGAAAATATGATCCTCATTCTGCTTTTTTGCATACACTTATGTCCGCTGCTGCCTACTCGAAGGACCCAAAGATGTGCCTGCAGAAAATGAACGTTACTAAAGATTTTGAAATTAAAGACATTATCAAACACGATTGCAAAGATTTACCGCTATTTACGTACAAAGAGTGTGTTGCCTATACTGCAGTTTCTCATACACATAGAGTTATTACCCTTGCTTTCAGGGGGACACGCACTCTGAGCTCACAAATATTTGACCAGATAATTTCTGTACTAACTATTCCTAAAGTTCCATTCCCAACCGGTGGGAAGGTTCAGCGTTATTTTGCTAATGCTCATAAAAAGTTGTATAATGATGTTAACGCAAGCGTCACAACCCTGGTCAAAATGTATCCAGAATACAACTTTGTGGTTACGGGTCACTCGCTGGGTGGCGCACTCGCAACTCTTGCAGCTGCTACCTTTGCATATCAACATGTTATTCCGTTACGCAATATGTCTATATACACCTTTGGACAACCCAGGGTTGGTGATAAAAACTTTGCTTTCAATTATGATCGGTTGGTAAACAACAGCTGGAGAGTGGTCCACAATAGAGACATTGTTAGTCATTTGCCACTGTGTAGTCTATTTTCTGGTTGTTCCACGCCTGAAAACGGACCGTATCACCATCGAACAGAAATCTTTTACCCAAACGTTACCATGAAAAAGGACTCTTTTTATAAGGAATGTAGAGGAGACGATTCTTACAATTGTAGTGATGGGATGATACAGAAGAAACCGTGTACATTCGATATTAAAGATTGTCTTACATACCACATGAACTACTTCAGTCTCCACGTAGGCAGACTTTGTGATCATGTTTTGACAAGAAAGTGATTGCAACCTGTTAATCTACATGTATATCTATACTGTTTGTTGTTCAGCTTTTTTTAATCCCCTCCAAGTACATGTACCTACTTTTTTCTCCTGTCAAGTGCAAATTATTTCATAAAACAGTAATTGAATATGTATGGCGCCAGTTAATTATGGATATGCCTGAGATCTTTCTTTTTATTTTGCGTGTGTAACATAAAAATGATGCCCATATTCCGACTGCGAAACCAATGCACAGTCACTCGTTTACTCATTGAGTGAGAAGACTGTTTGATACAGTAGAAAAAATGTGTAAACTTGTTATTAGAATGAACAATGTGACCACCACTTTCACCTTCACTGAAACCATTAAGGTTACAAACGATTCAAGAGAAAATACAAATACATATAGCTCAATCATGTCTATTTGTATGAAGTATTACATTATCATGCTATGTGTATATTTTGTGTACTGTTAACCCTTCTGTTTAATATCCATTAATCTGGACAAGATCATTCATCAGTTTTGAGGAAATATGTACTGACAGAATAGCGAACAGTGCAAATCATGATGATATTCATAATTGCACAGATATCTTCATTTGCACGGGTCGCAATGGTAGATTCTGCAGCTACCAGCAGCTCTACATAGGATTCAAGACGTAACCGACGGCAAGTTTTGGATTTTGTACTCATCTATTTGTGTAGATATGAACTTTAATTTTGAATATAAAAATATGTACGTGAATACCCTAGGAAGTATCGGAAGAATAAATGAAAATTACAGACTTGGTTTAATTAAGAATATACATTTGCTTAATAAATTCATTCAGAAACTTAGTGTATTGTTCTTGCTTTTGAAGACGAACTATGCTTGTTTAGGTGGCGCTATTAAAAACCCCACCTTGAAGTCCAAAGCATATAGAATGTAGATGGGCGCAGACATCTTGATCTATTGAAGTATTACTTTGAATTAAGAGGTAATTATAGAAGCCGTGAGGCGTCGGTTGCCGAGTTAAGGTCGTTGACTTCAAACCACTTGCCTCTAACCGCTTTAGATTCGAATCCCGACAGGGACTTTGAATTCTTTCATGCTAGCTTACGGAACGTCAATGGTTCTACGCAGATGCCCGTCCGTGCCTAAAATAATGCACGGAGAGGCACCTGGGGTCTTCCTCCACCAGTAAAGCTGGAACGTCGCCATATGACCTATAATGTGTCGGTGCAACTTAAAATCCAATCAAACATACTAACAAACTTGAATCTACGATCTTTTGGTAAACAAAACTGACCTGCTTAATTTCATATTTCATTTTTTGTTTCATTTACATACATTGTATCTTATTACACTTAAACACATACAATAGATTTACTTATAAAACATTGATAACCAGGAAGTTTTCTATTTATGACTGAAACTAAATATTGTGTTTTTAACGGTGTTGTTAACTTTTGTCAAGCTTAATGAGAAACAATTTTCTTAAAACACATGTTTTATAGCCGATGAAGCATTATATTATTTGTCATTTAACAAAAGTGAAACAGGAAATTTTAAGACATACTGTTTGTGCGCAGTTATAAATATACCACGGGTAATTATGATGTACATAAGTATGAATAAAGGCAAGAGAACTTAAAAAGTACATAAAAAAGGAAAGGATAAATAAAATCGAATGTTAAGGCTCATGTAACTCATTTTAAAATCATAGATATCACTAAATGTGATTTTCCAGTTTTTTAATTGTCTCGGCAAACATCGAGTGATAACATTGATTTCGCAACAAAGTGTTATAAGGATTCATCATAACTATTGAAATTTATGTTTATTGAAAAGTAAAAATTATACCTTTAACAACGCTGATTTCAGGGTTTTCAATTATATGAAGCAACACTGATATTTTATGCTGATGGAACTAGATTTGTAACTTACAGCAAGTAATATATTTTAATATGTAGGATAGTAAGTAAGCTGAACCATCAGGAAACGATATTATAAAAATTTGGATAATGAACATTACATTCTTGTACTGCAAGTAGATGAACAGTGTTTTGATCATTTCAATTTCGAAATGTACGTGTCAGTAAAAGTGAAATTTTAGATTTTTGAAAACATTACATCAGAGTTCCAACAAGTGAGAAACTTTAAACTGACCGAATTACTGTATGATCATTATTTCATTTGGAAGCAGAACAAACGCTGTACTCCGCACTCATGAAAATGTTCACTTTTAAATTAGAATTTCTTTTGGTACTTTCAATGTTGCCGCAGGAATCGATTGCTAAATGCAAATGTAAAACGTATACAGACTGTAAAACGTGCACTAGCGACAAAAGTTGGAATGTAGAAAGATGTCAGTGGTGTCCTCTAGACCGTGAATGTCACGACCCATCTTCTTCCGAGAATCCATGTTTAAAAAATTTAACTATTGTAAATCCAAAATTGTGTAGGGAAACTAAGTATGGAAAATATGATCCTCATTCCGCTTTTTTGTATACACTTATGTCCGCTGCCGCCTACTCGAAGGACCCAAAGATGTGCCTGCAGAAAATGAACGCTACTAAAGATTTTGAAATTAAAGACATTATCAAACACGATTGCGAAGATTTACCGTTATTTACGCACGAAAAGTGTTTTGCCTATACTGCAGTTTCACATACACATAGAGTTATTACCCTTGCTTTCAGGGGAAGCACTGCGGTTTCACAAATTGTTGATGAGATGATTTCTGTACTAACTTTTCATAAAGTTCCATTTCCAATCGGTGGGAAAGTTCAGCGTTATTTCGCTGATGCTCATAAAAAGTTGTATAATGATGTAAACGCAAGCGTCACAACCCTGGTCAAAATGTATCCAGAATACAACATTGTGGTTACAGGACACTCGCTTGGTGGCGCACTCGCAACACTTGCAGCTTCTACCTTTGCATATCAACATGTTATTCCGTTACGCAATATGTCTATATACACCTTTGGACAACCCAGGGTTGGTGATAAAAACTTTGCTTTCAATTATGATCGGTTGATAAACAACAGCTGGAGAGTGGTCCACAATAGAGACATTGTTAGTCATTTGCCAACGTGTAGACTATTTACTGGTTGTTCCACGCCTGATAACGGACCGTATCACCATCGAACAGAAATCTTTTACCCAAACGATACCATGAAAAAGAACTCTTTTTATAAGGAATGTAGAGGAGACGATTCTTACAATTGTAGTGATGGTATGATACAGAAGAAACCGTGCACAGTCGATATTGTAGATTGTATCGAATACCACAAGTACTACTTCAATCTTCGCGTAGGCACACTTTGTCAGCATGTTTTGACAAAAAAGTGATTGCAACCTGCTAATCTAATACACTGTTTGTTGTTCAAAAATTTTATCCCCTGCAAGTACTCGATTTTTGACCTGTCAATTGCAAATTATTTCATAAAACAGTAATTGAATATGTATGGCGCCGGTTAATTAGGGATATGCCTGAGATCTATCTTTTCATTTTGCGCGTGTAAAACAAATATTATGGCCATATTCCGACTGCGAAACCAATGCACAGTCATTCGTTAACTCATTGAATGAGAAGACTGATTGAGACAGTAGGAAAAATGTGTAAACTTGTTATCAGAAGTAATAATGTTGACCACGACTGGTACTTTCATTGAAAAACAATTAAAAAGAAGTTACAAATACATGTAGCTCAATCATGACTATTTGTATGAAATATCTAATTATCATGCAGTTAGTATATTTTGTGCACTGTCTACCCTTCTGATAAATATTTATCAATCTGGACAAGACAATTCATCAGTTAAGAGGAAACATGTCCTGACAGAATAGCGAACAGTACAAATCATGATGACAGATATCTTGATCCGCACAGGTTGCAAGGGCAGATTCTGTAGCCACCAACAGCTCTATATAGGATTCAAGACTTAACTAACAGCAGATTTTGATTTTTTTTCTCATCTATTTGTATAGATATGAACTTTAACTTTGAGCATAAAACGTGTACGTGAATACCCTAGGGAGTATTGGAAGAATAAATGAAACTTACAGACTCAGTTTTATTACGAATGTACATTTGCTTAATAAATGCATGCAGAATCATATAGTGTATTGTTCTTGCTTCTGAAGAAGGCCATATCTTTGTAAACGTAATTTGTCACTTTATGACATATAGGTGATTGCTATTTTAATTCTGACCGAAAGTTCACATACATCATGGCAGTCGGAACATCTCGGCTTTTGTTTATAATAATATATCAGAATTTATTACATAACATTATAATATATCTAATTTATTCTCCCTTCTCATCAGAAGGAAGAACTGTGTTTGCTGAAACTCACTGTGATATTAAACTTCACCTAGAAGTCCAAAGCAATGTGGATGTAGATGGACTTTTTGAAGTTCTACTTTGAGTTAAGAGGTGGGTAGTAGCAGACGAACGTAAACGGTATAGTTAGGATCATTGAACAAACAAACGAAGCATAGTTTAGTAAGTGACAAAATGACAAATATGTTATATCTCATCATACATTTGATTTCGACTATGATATAACTGTCATTGTTGCTTGTTTTTATTTTCTTTTTCGTTTTCTGTAATAACCTAGTGCTCCCCGTCCAATCGGACTAGTCAATATGTTTTTATATGGTCTAGTCTAATTCCCTGTCTGGAGAGTATTGTATGGGAAATGATCTCCAGGCTACGTATAGTACATTGTATATTACATTTTGTAAATTGCACGGTCGGTTATAGTCCGTTTCTGGGTTAAAGCAAACAACGTAATGTTGGTTAGTGTTTTTTTACAATTAAGAAACAAATTATTAGTGAACGACCATGGGTTTTCATTGTTAAATTTTGAGTGCAATTTCACACTGAGGGATATTAGAAATGAATGATGATTCATTACAAGGAACATTTATTTTATCTTCTCAGGAATATATAAGCTATTATCAATAATTATCTGTATAGATAAATCTGTTTCCGGCTCCTCTATTTGTACTTCTGTTTATAATCATTTTTATGAATTTAGTGTTGCACTAACAGAAATTTTGGTCGGCTAAATTTTAATTATTGAATATATTAAAATCTCTTAAACTTCGAAGGAACTATTCCAAACTCAAAATAGGGCACATTCGTGAGTCAAATACTGCAGGTCGAAGGGTGAAGTACATGTTTTTTTGTAATTGTACGATAAAACGCGGAAAATAAATATGTTTTCAAATGACTATGAACAGGAACAAAAAAGAGACAATACATATTTTGTAATTGTTTAGTATGACTATGATACATTTGGCCATGTATAAATCTCTAGCCGCCACCGGTAGGCAAGTTATACTGCAGTTTAACTGATTTGATTTTAGAACTGTTAAAAAAACAATCAGCATGAAAACATCGGGACCTCATATAGAATTACTGAAAGAGACAAACCATTAGCTCTTGTTAGTCTCTCTGGAACAATTAGTAAGAACTCGGTAATAAATGCATGCATGCAGACAAATTTGTGATATCAAACGTTTTTTTTATTTGCCGCATTCATCTTTTCAAAATATTAAACACACTATATGCTAATAATGCTAAGATAATAAAGAGAAACCAGAGATGTAAAGGTGAACGGCTGGATCCCTGAAATAAAATAATAATAATTCTTATAAATTTGGCAGTTTAATATTTTTTTCAGTGGACAAAACATTGAAATTTCTTAGTCTCTGTTAATTTAGTGTAAATTTTTCATACCCAAGCAATATGATAAATGCAATAATGTAGATGTTAAAACTCCCTAAATACTGCTGTTAACATGTACGGTTAAAAAGTATGGAGAACGTATGATTACAAAGAAAAAATAAACTAGAAACAAAGTGATCCCTCGGAAGTATGAGTCACAACAAAATTACATGAAAATTGCAGACTCGGTTTGATTGAGTCTGTACATGAGCGTTAATGAATAAGTGCAACAACCCTCACGCCCCCCTAGCACCGGCTGAGCGGTACTCAATTCTCAACACTAAATAGCTGGCATCAATGATCCTGAAGGACCAGAAAAATATAAAGTTGGCACAATCCACTAAAGTTCTGTGAAATGTTGTTATTGTTGTTTTTGTTTGTTTGTTTGTTCATCCGTCCATCTGTTAGTTCGTTCGTTTGTTTGTGCTACTTATACTTTTCAAAAGGAAAAGAAAATCGGATGTTGTCATTTTCGACACATATAGATGAAAGAAAGTATGAAGTGTATTTGATACCGACAGAAGTTTATAAGAAGTTACGCAGTTGTCAGTCCCTTTGGGGAAAATAATCTATCTATTAGGCTGTTAAATTCCAGAGAGACTTTCAAGTTAGGTAAGAAATGTATATATGTACATCTGTAAGAAAATATCACGTAATTTGTGACTTAATTAGTTTTTAAAGTAATGCTTTCAGAGAGACTGAAGCTTATAAAGGTAAGATAAAGGATAAGATAAGATAAGACAAGATAAGTTTTATTTCAAGTCGGCAAGTTAACAACAGTACAACATAAGCTCTAAGAGCTTTTATAACCGACTGTATTTAACATAAGGTATCATATCAACAATGGTTCAACAGCTGCAATAAAAAATTGATTAGGCATAATATATACATAAAACAGTCCTTTTTTTAAATAAATGAATCATGTGCTAATAAACCAAAATGATAGTTTACTTCATTCTAGGTGTCTTCCCAATATAATTTTTCTTTAAAATCGTGCAGTTTTTCCAAAACTATACCCTACACAGGTTGTTTTACTTCCCAAATTAGAAATTTTACTAAAAGTTTACCCAAACCAAGAGCTAAGAATTCAGGTCTCCTTCAAATTAATTGAAATATCCATTATCATAATAAGTTCGATAGCAAAACTATGGTTTATAGAGATGACTTTTGTCAATAAAAGTAACTTCACAGAAGAAGGTTTCTAAAGATTAACACCTCTTTTGCACATTTACAACTGTTTAGGTACTTAAATTTGTTCTCACGTGACTGTACAAAATGGCGTCCGTCAAACACGTTGTTTTGGATTCTGGAGCTTTTTTACGAAATGCTAAAATTGAGGTATAAAAATCGCGATAATATATATAATATCCATTTATTTGTTACTTTGTATACAGTTTAATTTATTGTGTTGTTATGAAATATTTATGCACAATTTTATGATTTTTATTAACATTTCATAACAATAATTTATTGCGTGCAAGACCGAATCGGGGTCAGCTCGGCCCTAAAACGTACTCGGCCCCCGAGTCAGCTCGGCCCTATTCCAACTCGGCACGGGTCAACTCGGCCCATAATTATATATTACTGGTATTGATTACTTTTTAAATGTTTTCATCATAACTTTCATTGTTTAACATTTTCACAGTAATAGATATTGATTACTTTTTAAATGTTTTCATCATAACTTTCATTGTTTAACATTTTCACAGTAATAGACCTCTACTCAAGGATATTGAAAAGTTTTATTGACAAAAGTACCAATTTGTATGTGAATTGTAGAGAAAGGAAGTGTTTACAATTTACATGCATGTTTTGTCTACTTAAAGATGTTTTTAGTAAAAAAAATATCGTTAAAACAGCATTGATCGTATAAAAGAACAAACCCTCAAACAGGGTTTTATAATTACAATAACATTTATTGTCATAAAAATTCAATCCAAAATCAATATTTAACATATATATATATATATATATATATATATATATATATATATATATATATATATATATATATATATATATATGTATATTGTAGATCTATATTCTTAACAAAGATAATTTAAAAAAAAATACTTACATGTACACTGTCACCCTTTTCAATTTCTGTTTGCATTTGATCATACTTTTGAATACTTTTATAATAATTTACTCCTTAAATGTTATATTAACTAAACAATCTATATCCTAATATAAGTTTTAAAAGAGGGCCCAGTTGACCCATGCCCAGTTGGTATAGGGCCGAGTTGACCCTTTACCTGCAAGACCCATATACCACCTTACCCAGCCCTTGTCAACTTTCAAACAGTATAGTTTGTAACACAATTGGTCACTGTATCTGTTGGTGCTATATCTTGGAATAGACCCCTGTTTTAGGCAGGTGTCACAGGTGATCACATTTCTAACTTCCATAACTTTAAATGTCACTTTTAATAAAGTTTTATTTTGATGTTGTGGGCAGAGCTCCAGATAATTTTTTTGGCCAAGGGATTTTTACCCCTCAAAATTTAAAGTGAGGGGTAAAATATAAAATCTGAAAAACTTAAGGGGTAAAATCTGTCAAAAAAGCATTTTGCATTTTTTGTAAACTTATTGTTTTTGTTTGTTTGTTTGTTTATTTTCTTTTTTTGGAAAAACCTTTAAAAATGAAATACTGATTCAATGTGAAGCAATACAAAACGTGCCCTGTAAAGTCAGACTTCCAGAGTATACTGGAACTCAAGTTTAGGATTCACAGCAAAATTATCAGGGCTTCCATTTTCAAAATTTGGAAGTCAAAGACTTAAAAATCTCTGATATTGGAAGTCACATTATATTGGTAAAGAAGGAAAAGTATTATATTTTCGGAAGTCACATGCCAAAATGAAGGAGTAAATGACTTCCAAACTTCCACTAGTGGAAGCCCTGAAATTAATACATGTATATTTTCTAGGAGTCAATATTTTTCTTTCTTTATTTCTGTTGGCATGTAGCTTATCATGTGCTCCAGTTTGAACAATTATAGTTGAAATTAGAATTAAAGAAAAATAAACAAGATTTTTTATCTTTCCTTAAAAAAGTATTGGTCTGAGAGAAAATTGTCCGTAACTGTAGACTGGGTACGAACATATTGAGTACAAAACTGCAGGTGAAAAACATGTTATTTTGTTCCAACAACAAAAGTGAAAGAAATTAAAATATATTTTTGTTTATCTTGAGACATAAGCATGTCAATTGATGCCTAAACAAACTGTTTACTCCTACGATGATTATCTGGCAAAAATTTATATCAATAATTTCACAAGTTGATCGACGGGAGTTACCTCCCTTCTGTACTTCCTGCTACTTTCGTTTTTAACATGCGTTGTTGACAACATAACTTTTAGTTTTCAATGCAATAAAATGGAAATATATTGTATTTTCATGCTCAAAACATCCTCTATCTGAATATCAAATGTTTACACTTCTATTCGTTTACGCTTAAGTTTTGACATACAAGCGTATTTTCATTTTGTTGTGCGTAACTTTGACGCACGAATTTTGAAAGTGATGCGTATTTTAGATTTTCTATGCGTATTTTACGCTTATACGCACGCTATCTGGAGCTCTGGTTGTGGGACAGCAAATACAATTAATATCCCGGTGTAACCTAAATTCGGCGGTATAAGAACAAATGTCAATGGCATTTTCAATAAACTACAATAATCTATAATAATACTTGATATTATTTTACTACAACTATTTAAAAGTTACTTTTAAGTTGATTTCTAACAATGTAATCGTTCAGCGGTTGCCAAATAAAAACAAATATGGCTGATGTAAAATCTTACTACGATCTGAAAACGTCACCTAATTCGGCGATTCTGATTGGTTGCAGTAAATTTTTAATTTTGGCGGGATTGTGACGTAGTATGTTGACCTAGATCAGCAGTAAAAATAGTAATATAACAGATGGAGACTGTCAAATTGATTAAGCAACAATATCAATCAAATAGAGGAAAGTATAGATAAACTTGAAATTGCGTCAGGTAAAACACAATTTTCTCCATGTCATACACAATTTTTAATGTTTACCAGCCGTATCTCCATCTTTAGTGCAGGAAATCACTCGAGTTGTAAAAATACACCGTGGGACATAAATATGATTGACCTTCACCTCTGAAATCTCACATGAATGACGAAAAACAAAACATTGCCGAATTTAGGAGAACGCCGAATTTGGGTTACGGTAGGATACAATAGGGCTTAAAACATGTTTGCTGAAGTCTCTTTAGCTAAGGTGATGATTGAATCAAGACCAGCTTGGCCTAAATTCAATCTGTGTCTGATAAGTTGGATCGTTTCAATCTCCGAACTTCCAACATTTCACAAGTGAAACATCAAAATCTGGCTCACTGTTTTCCAGAATCTGATGATGTAGCCCATGCTTTACTTACCCAGTTTTCAAAGAGATATCTACTTTTCCTGATTTTTTTCATTTGAACACTTGGCAATTAAAAAAAACTTTCACTTTAAATTTCTAACATTTTCACATAATGCCTGTGTAGAAAAAAACAACAACATGAAAATCATAGGGCCTTTTTTCTTTTGAGTACTAGAATTTAGAAAAATGTTGAAGAATATTTTGTGGCCGTGTCTGAGACTTTAAAGAAAGCAATACTGATATGAAAGTGAAAGGAGATGTTGATAAATCAAACTGGAAAAATGGGTATATTATATTTTGAAAATTTCAGCATCTGAAATCAATAAAATTGATCACAAGATTGTTTATACTTATTAATACTAGGCTTATTTTATTTTAAATTAACATATTACTTAAAGTTATATTGAACATTATATGAATTTCAGAATATATCTAACAATGTTTACACAATATCTGAAGTGGTGTCAGAGATTAAAGATAAGGCCACTAAGCAGCGACTTCAGGTCCTTCCATATGAGTTGATTTTCAAAGAGCCTTCATCTGATGCCATCAGAATTGGTAATATTCAAAGTTTACTTGCAACTTTCTACAGTGCTGGAATTTCTTAATTATCATTTTTGTGTCGCCTTGAAAAGGTGACATATAGGGGTTACTTTTGTCGGCGGTGTCGGCGGCGGCAGCGTGACACCGCCGACGGCGTCTGTGTCGGCGTCGTTGTCGGCGTCCCCTAAAGCTTGTCCGGAGCATAACTCAGTCACTATACGTTTGATTTACTTCAAACTTGGTATGCATGCTTCTTTCAATAACCCGAAGTGCAGTGCACAAGGACCGGTACTCTGCAGTTCTTATTTTTTGAGTTATTGCCCTTTGTTAACTTTCATACTTTAATTTTGTCCGGGCCATTTCTCTTCAACTAAAAAAGCTATGGACTTGAAACTTCATAGGATGATAGATCTCATTAAGAAGAAATGCAGTGCACAAGAACCAGTACTCTGCACTTCCTAATTTTTGAGTTATTGCCCTTTGTTAATTTTCATACTTTATTTTTTGTCCGGGCCATTTCTCTAATGTATAAAAGCCATGGACTTGAAACTTCATAGGATGATAGGTCTCATTAAGAAAAAGTGCAGTGCACAAGAACTGGTACTCTGCATTTCTTATTTTTTGAGTTATTGCCCTTTGTTTATTTTCATACTTTAATTTTGTCCGGGCCATTTCTCCTTAAGTATAAAAGCTATGGACTTGAAACTTCATAGGATGATAGATCTCATTATTATGAAGTGCAGTGCACAAGAATCGGTACTCTGCATTTCTTAATTTTTGAGTTATGGCCCTTTGTTAATTTTCATACTTAATTTTTGTCCAGGCCATTTCTCCGAAAGTATAAAAGTTATGAACTTGAAACTTCATAGGATGATAGATCTCATTTAAAAGAAGTGCAGTGCATAAGAACTGATACTCTGCATTTCTTATTTTTGAGTTATTGCTCTTTGTTGATTTTCTTACTTTATTTTTGTCCTGGTCATTTCTCCTCAAGTATGAAAGCTATGGACTTGAAACATCATAGAATGATAGATCTTATTGATAAGAAGTGCAGTGTACAGAAACTGCTGCTCTGCACTTATTATTTTTTTAGTTATTGCCCTTTGTTATTTTTCATATTTCATTTTTGTCCTGGCCATTTCCCCTAAACTACATTGTTCACAAGGCGACACATCCGACTCGCGGAGTTCTAGTTAATAATTATGATTAATTTATTTGTACACTGTAAAACAAATACAAGCAGTATTTTCTATCTTGTTAAGATAATCACTGATGTTCATTAAATGTATCTCATGGGCACTGGGTAGTGTTTTGCAATTATGATATTGTAAACTCAAATAATTGTTAGCACAAATAAAATAACTTGTTCATTTGACATATGCAATTATTTTCCAATATAACATTTTCTAAGATCACAATTTTTTTTGTTTATTGGGGTATACTTTTTATCAATTTGCTGTCCATGAGCAAATTTACCATAGTTAATTTCAATAGTAACTTTTTTGTTTTTGATTGACTGATAACTTAAATATTTACATTTGTAGTTTGTTGGCAACTTTCTGCCTCATGAAGATGTGGTTTCAGCTTGATTATGTCAAGGTCACTGAGGCTAAAAATAGATTTTCCATAGAATTGGTTTAACTTTCAGTAAGATAGAAGAATGTCCACTGTTGTGACAGATAATCTTGTTTCTATTTTGGTAACATGACCATATGGCAACAATGTTAAAGCCAGGAATAATGTATGTGTAGTTAACGTTGAAAATGGCATCATGACCAGTACCAAGAGTCTGAAACTATAAGAAATATTTCTCTGTCACATTTAATGTATTATAATTTATTGAATATTCATATATAAGAATGAATGATGATGTATCTGTATTTTTCAGTGACTGAGTTTTCGAAGAAAACTGGAGACTACAGGAGTTTATCTGCTGTTGATATTAAAGTTATGGCCCTTGCTTATCAGCTAGAAAAACAATTTGTTGGAACACAACATATAAAAACTGAGCCAGATAAAAAGGTTTGAAAATTATTTCATGTTTAATAAATACAAATTTTTATGCAGTAAAACATTATTTGAGTATTTTCAACTGGATTAGTTAAAAGAATGTTAAAGTTTGTTTAGGATTTAGAAATGGGGGATATAAATTTCAAGAAACAAAATATGGAAAAATTTCATGTGTGTATTTAAAAAAAAAAATATTTTGATTTTATCATATAAATGCTGCCTACAGTATGAAAATACTACATTAAAGGAAATCTTTTTTATCTTAAAGTTACATTGTGTTACTATGGTAAATAAGATGTATTCATAGTTGTTATGTTAAAGCTACTATCCAACACACTATAGTTTGGGCGTTTTTGAAATAAAATGTTATCAAAAGATAAAATTTCACCACAGACTCATACATTTATATGGAACGAGATAATTGATCCATGTTTTATCCCCCTTAAAAACATCAAAGTAATATTTTTGATGTTTTATCCTGCTGTAATTTTTAAACTGTTGCAATGTTTTATTTTGTAAATATTGACTAATATTATTAACACACCTGTTAACTGGTTGCAAGTAGAGCAGTTGCTTGTGGGTAAAACAATTGTGTACTTGGTAAGTTTTTTATTCTGCAAACAATTACTGCACAATATATCATAAAAAATTATGAAGTCCTATAAAAAGAGACAAAAAAGAAAAACACATCTTGGTATCTGGTTTAAAACTGATATTTAAAACGTAAGTTCTACCTATATTAAACTGTCCTACAAGGTATATGTTCACTGTTGTGATGATTGGGGTGTTTATATGGTATGCCAAGTGAAAGGTAACAACTGTAAGGTCACAATTATCTCAAGAAAACGGCAAATTTACTTCTATGCATATTTAATAATGGTTAACAAATATGTTGATGTTTTAGAACTGTTTTATATGGGAGAGTAGCTTTCAGAACACATTCATTATTTCTTCAAATTCCAACTTTGTTTTTGTTTCATAATCAGAATATTTACAAGACAAAAGAGCATTGACAAAAAATGAAATATTAAGGTCTATTATATACATACATATAAAATTATATTCTCATTATTCTAGATTGAATGGAATGCTTCAACCCGACCACTTGAAAAGGCAACTGATATTGCTGGTTTCTATGTTAAACCTAAAGTAAGTTGTTGTTTGTTTTTGTAATGCAAAAGAAACTTGCTGTTTTAAACAAGTAACTGATATCTTATTGTCTTCACAGGCACTACACTACATATACTACCATTTATTTTGGAGTAAAAATGTTAAAATAATTAAATAGATTATTCACCTATTTCGATAGATCCACTTCATTTATGGGATAATTTTTTAGATATATGTTTTAAAAGCACTTTGCATGTAGTCCTCTAGTTAGAATTAAGAGAGCAGTTTTTTGCATCAATTAATGTCTTGTTTTGTGTATTTTTTTATTTTTTTTCTTACAAAACAGACATTTGTTAGACAAACATGAAATGCAACCTGCTTTGAAATATGTGAAACGAAAGAATGTAAAAAATAATGAGAAGCGGTCTTGAAAGTAAAAATCAAGTCATATTAGTTTATATGTTGCTTATGTGTTTAGAAAGCAGTTAAATGGTATATTGAAACCTGATCTGAAGTATATAGACAACAGTTTAATGTGTTTAATGTTAAAACTATGTTTAAGGGCCTCCTAAAATCACAATCGATACTTGTATATGTACATGTATATGTTTCCTTGTTACCCTTAGAAACCAGCAAGTTCAAGGACAGTGTCAGAATGTTCTTCCATCAACCCTGATGTTACAGATCTGAGACCAGATGATGTTCCTGACATTGCTGTCGCAAATCATCAAGAATCTAAAGACAATGAAACAGATACACTTACTAAGAATACAGCTGAAAGTACAAATAATGTAGAGGAAACAACCAACATTTCACAAAACTGTGTAAATGGTTCAACTGAAAATGATAGAACTGAAGTAGATTCGAAAGAGGACAATTCTGAACCGTGTAAAACAGTTGAAGAATTAGGAGAAGGGGATGTAGTTCCTGATGATATGATAGGGGAGGAGTCCGACAGTGGCGAGGATGAGAAGGAGGATGAAAATGATGATACTGATGATGATGACGATGATGATGGTTGGATAACTCCTAGCAATATAAAATCTGTGAAAGAGAAAATGGGTGGCACTGATGTAGAAAAAACTGAAGTTTCTGTTGGTTGTTTGACTACTGACTTTGCTATGCAGGTACTGCTTTCTATCCCTTAAAGGCGCATTTTAACTCAGAAATCCATATTTTTTTAATTCTTCAGAATGTCAAACATGTGTTTAAAAACTTAAAAATGTTTTAATGATGGATTATGTTAGATGTTAAACAACTAAAGAAAATAGCACTGATGCCATGCAGTAATGTGACATAAAGGTTGCAAAATGTAAACAAAGTTGTATTTTGACTTCCATACAAAACACTAATTCATTATAATTATACTTGTTGCTAATATAGTAACAGAAAAAAATGATAGTTGATCTATGTGGCAATTATTTGGAAACTGTAACAATATACTGGTACCAAAAATAAAAAGTTTGAGGCCTTGAATGGGCCTTTAAATTATGCCTCATCACATTGTTTATATTATAGCATAGGAAGAAATAATATATGTAATTCAATTGGTAAAATGTTATTGCAGACAAAATATAATGTAACCTTGATTTACAACAGTGTTCTAAGATGCTTAAAAAATTTTAGATAGTAAAAGAAAGCCTTGTGTCTCACTGTCAACACACCTTCAAATATAGTCTTATATTGAAATACTTTCAGAATGTATTGATACAGATGGGCCTAAACGTAATCTCTGTAGATGGTATGCTGATCAAGAGAGCTAAGAGTTTTGTCCTCAGATGTTTTGCTTGCTTTAAGTATGTCTTGTTAAATATTTTTTTTTATCTATTAGTGTCATTTTCATTATTGAAAGACTATTGAGGCTTGTTGATGTAATATCTTTTTGCATACTGATCTCTCTTCACATGTATATGAACGTTGATGGCGTCCGTGGCCAAGTGGTAAATGTCCTTGACTTCAAACCACTTGCTCCTCACAGCTGAGGGTTCGAATTCCCATGGGGATTTTGGATTCTTTCATGTGAGGAAACTATCCAGCTAGCTTATGGAACATCAGTGGTTCTACAGGGGTGCCTGTTTGTACCTGAAATAATGCACTTAGGGGTACCTGAGGTCTTCCTCCACCAGTAAAGTAGCAATATGGCCTTGGGAGGGACGTAAAGTCGAACCAAAAAATATACTTATATAAATATGATCAGAGAACTGTAACATACTTAATGTTTTGTCTTTAGTTAGAAAGAATATATGATGTAATTATGCTATTTAAACTAGCAGCTATAAGATTCCTACAATATAAGTAGAGTCAGACAAGCCTGTCCTACCATATTATTAAACTCTTGATGGGCTATTCCAAATTTTGAAGCGGTCCAAGATCATTGCATACATTGAGTATGGTCTGGGCTAAAAAAACTGTGCTAGAAAATGTTCTGTGTTGTTTTCTTCAATATATATGATTTAATCATCAGGTGATCAAAAAGTTCTTTGTTATAAAACTCTGTTTTGATCTTCTATTTTAGCTGTTATGTAATTGTGACAAAGCATTCTTTAGCAAGTATATTTCTTTCCAACAGAATAACCACACATGTAGAAAAGACATTTTGTCCACATTGTGGTAATAAAACACTTACCAAGGTCTCCATGACAGTCAATGATGATGGTTCCATCAAGTACTTCCTGTCCAGAAGAAGACCCATGAATACGAGGGGAACCAAGGTATGGCAATTTCAAATTACTGCAACTTGGGACCAATATTTTAATGTTCTACTGAATAGAGAAAACAAGAGCCCGGTTTGAGCCGGGTGATGCTCCCCGAATAGGTTTTGGACACAGGAAAGTACACCTCTTGTAGTTTCAGAGTTATGTCCGTGGAAAAAGTTCAAAGTGCAATAATTCTAAAATTAGGCAAGGCAGAGTTACAGTTCTTTGCACTGCACTTCTAATCAATGTGATCTATCAACCTACAAAGTTTCTTGATGATATCTCTTATGATTTCCGAGTTATGTCCTGGACAATTCAAAAAGTAAAAATAAACAAAGGGCAATAACTCCAGAATTAGGCAAGGTAGAGTTATGATTCTTGTGCACTGCACCTCTACTCAATGAGATCTATCTACCTACAATGTTTCATGTTGATATCTCTTATAGTTTTACAGCTATGTCCTGGACAAGATTTTTCTAAAAGGGGAGATTATTCAAAAATAAGGCTTAACAGAGTTATGGTTCTTTTGCACTGCACCTCTACTCAATGAGATCTATCTACCTACAATGTTTCATGTTGATATCTCTTATAGTTTTAGAGTTATGCCCCGGACAAGATTTTTCTATAAGGGGAGATAATTCAAAAACAAGGCAAAATAGAGTTATGGTTCTTTGACACTGCACTCCCACTTGATGCCCTCTACCACTGTATGAAGTTTCAACAAATTATCTCCAAGGGTTTTCAAGTTATGTTCCGGACAAAGTTCAAGTTCAAAGTATTAAAATTAACAAAGGGCAATAACTCCAAAATTAGGATGAAAAGAGTTATTGTTCTTATGCACTGCACATCTACCCATTGAGATCTATTCACCTACAAAGTTTCATGTTGATATCTCTTATAGTTTTAGAGTTATGCCCCGGACAAGATTTTTCTATAAGGGGAGATAATTCAAAAACCGGGCAAAATAGAGTTATGGTTCTTTGACACTGCACTCCCCCTCGATGCCCTCTACCACTGTATGAAGTTTCAACAAATTATCTCCAAGGGTTTTCAAGTTATGCTCCGGACAAGACAACGGACGGACAGACGGACGGACGGACAGACGTACAAGGCGCCGACTATATGCTCCCCCGAAATTTTTCGGGGAGCATAAAAAAACAGTGTTAAAGGGACTTTACTAAGGTTTTTGACTATAAGGGGACTGGAAATATTTCTGTAAGATTTGTGTACCAGTTGGGTGAAGGTCTGGACGCAAAATCTCAGATCATTATCATTCTCTCAATCCCTCTTTCCTGAATAATCATTTTTATTGTACAAAATATACCCAAAAATGGAAAGCATTTAAAACACTTTCCATTCAAATTAAGGTAAGAATCACATCAAAAAAGAAACATTGATTTTCAATTGAATCCAGATCATATTTATATATTTTACTGATTTTTCCATTTAAGGTGCGTCACTTTATCTAAATCATAATTACAAGTTTTTTGTTTTTAAATTTTTTGGACCTCAGTTGAGCTCTTTTAAGTCTAATTCTGACCTAATAGACATTATGTCTTGACAAATTAAATAACAATTCATAAAGTTTTATTAGCTATATGAAGGAACACTACTTATACTAATACTCAATATAACATTCATACATTTTGTGTTTCAGTTTAAGCTACCAATGCCCAAGGGAGGTAAACATGCAGCCAATCCAAAACTTGTGGAGGACATGCCATCGGCACAAAACAGAATATCAAATAAAGCTCGTGCAAAAATGAGCGTGTTTGACCCAGATTATGTGGCTAACAGCTCACCATTTTCACTAAATGATGTCACAAGTAGAGCTGCACAGCTTGGAATAAGGTCACATAAAGGAGAAACTCATTACTGGGAACGGAGAAACCCAAATGCTGTAAAAAAGAACAGAAGAAAATGATTTTTTGTTTTTGATAACGTTAAGAGTCTCTTAAATTGAAAATAAATCAATGAAATAAATGTAATATACATCTGTGTTTTGTTAACTTTATATACATGTATAAGAATTACCATGTTTACTACATAATCTTAAGTTCTTAGTATAGCACCCTTTGCAAAATAGACATAGGGCAAATTAAAATTTTAATGATGCATTATTTTTTCAGGGAATGCAAGGTAATAATTAATGTAACAGATTGTGCATTATTTTAATGCTAATTCAATACATTACTGCCAAAATGCAGTTAATATATAATTTGGCATACTTTGGATTTGTTCTCTACATTACATATCTACTTTATCACAACATACATTATTTGTATGTGTTACCTACGCTAGTTTGATATGTGTTTACTGTTAATTACAAGGCACATATTACAGATCAGTCTTTTGTACTAAACATTGTGGGGTTGTTTTGTCTTCAATATCTATTATGTTAACACCTTGCATATTTCATATTCCTTGCATTTGAGCCAGTTATGGTCATAATGTTAGAGGTTGAATCCATAGAAGACATTTAAAAAGAATCTACCCCTGGCTGAGGTTTGAAGTTAATTAGGATCTTTGAGGCAAGTTTGTCAATATTAAGTACATGTATGCACCTGTTTGAACGTCGTCGGAAATGAAGAAACAATGCTTATTTAAATAATGTTAAAATAATATTACATGTACCAACTTTTTTCCTCTAGCACTTACAAAGTATGTCAAATTTTCTAGTGGGCCTTTACAACTCGTATAAATCATGGCCCTGGTGTTAGAAATAAGAAAAGCTGCAGAAATGCATGTAATGTTCAACAGACTCATTACAGACATTTTAAAATTTAAATTTAGTATTGCCTTGAGTGCCTCTTCAAATATACAAATGTTTGCTCCGTCAAAAAAGAAACGTCCTGGACCATTAACTATATAATAATATGGGCCTCGTATTATTTTCATTTCACTGTACATGTGATCTCTCATTCAAATCAACATAAAGATAACAAAACATTTTTTTTTTCAATTTATTTTTAATATTTTTTTCACATTTTAAAAAAGTTTTATTGATTTTTTTTCCACATGAACATGTATTTTATACATAAATACTGCCAATTTATTCCATTTTTTTTCTTACCATAACTAACAAGCTTGCACTTATTTCACAATTCATTAAAACAATATTGGTAGTAAAACATTACAAATATATCAAGACCACCAATTTTTGACACAAATTGCAACATTTAGACAACCCTGTGTTAAAAGACCACATCATATAAGTAATTATGTTCCTTATAAAAGAGGAAAGGCAGAGGTAACGACATTAAGCCTATGCTATATAGAGCATGTATTATCTACAGTCAGACCAAGAATAATACAGTTCTGTGCTTGATTTTAACATCTGAATATTCAGTTGAATTTGACTGCCAAGACTTGTTCGACTTTCAGTTATATCTATTAATGATACACTTACTTCAAGCTACCAACCTTCAGATAAGCGAACAAAGTTTTAAAATAATTCAAAATTTAGAACATTGTATTTACTTTTAGAAATATATAAATATTCATAATACATCTTACCATAGTAAAGACTATATTTCACTCAGATTTTACGTTAATTTCCATGTTTACTTCACTCGACTATAAAAATAAAACACAATATTTTCATAAACAACAAGCTGTTGCTCGACTTTTCTAAGGCCTTGATAGTAAAACGAGAGCTAGGATGTAGATATTTACAAGTTGGAAAAGGGCAATAATGTTGTTTAGAATCCAGTAAGCGTTACGGGCCTTGGGCAGTGACCTATATTGCTCTCAATTAAGTGTGAAGTTTCAACTTATTGCCTTCAGTAGTTTTGGAGATACCAACTTGCACACAAAAACTTAACCAAGTGTGATGCCGATGGCTGGGTGAGTACAACAGCTCTATATATTCTTTGAAAAGTAGAGTTAAAAACAAAGATGACATAAATTTGGGAGAGGTCTGTTTTATGTATCTACTTGTCTTATAATCCTGAGCTTAAAATATGTAAGAATGTGGTCTATAAAACAGGACAAAGGAATCCTATAAGTGTGAGCATTATCCTGTTGTGTTGTGATATGTTACATGGTCTTTTAACACAGTTTTGAAACTATTTCATAAATATATGATTATCATCAACAATAAAAAGGGTGAAAACTTTTTTTTTTTTTAAAAGTCAGGATTTTGCAGAGATTATTAAATGCTGGTATTTGAATATGAGAAAATGCTTTTTTAAGTGTTTTGTTTTTTATTGTTTTTTGCATTGAAAAGTCTAAAAATCTTTTTTGCCAAAAATCAATATATCTTTTTTGTTTGGTTAAACAAGAGTTTTTGCCATATTATTTTAATATAAAAAATGTTCGTTTTCACCGAAAAAAATCTAAGTAGCACTCTGCAACATTCTGTACATATTATACAAAACAAAATATTTATATATTTTCAAATGCATACAAAAATAACAATAATAAAAACATTTTTTTAACATACATGTTTTAAAAAGAACAAGTTTACTTTAATTACAAAATACACTGGTAATATTGTTCTTCAAAAAACCCTAAAAATATGTCCATAGGACACAGATGCCCCCACATTCCCCTGTTTTGTCAGTCTACGGACATACAGCAGAACAGTATGACAGACAGACAAAGGAAATCTACATGACTCCCCCTACCTCTAAATGGTTGGGGCATAAAAATGACATCCATTTTTTTCCAATTTTGACATCTTGATTTTTTCCAATTATTGAGCTGAAATCTAAATTTTATATCCTAAAGTATACTTTAATGCTTCTGAGGGATCACATTTTGTCAAGGTTTTAAAGAAAATAAAACAAGCAAAACACAAGATGCACAACTACCCATGCTGACCAACATTTCTGTAAAGTTTCATGACTCTAGATCTAATACTTTTTTAGTTACGCATGATACAAGTTGAAAATTGCAAATTTTTCACTAAATCAAGAAAAATATTGGAATAAATCCACATGAGAAACCCCAATGTGCACAAATACACATGCTGATCAACATTCCTGTATAGTCTGTTTACTCTAGCTCATCTCATGACAACATTTTGGAAGGCATGGACAGACAAGGGCAAATCTAAATGCCCCTACCTAGGGTGGGGACGGTGACATAAAAAAAACCTCACATCATTTTTATATCAGATAGAGTCTGTAGAGGAAAGACCAAAGTCATGAAATGCAATCTATATGAAGAAATAGACTCAATAAGAAGTACACTAGTCTGTTAGATGTTGAGTTTTAAAGACATATTTCAATGTGTTCCTGTTGTGATGTAGGGTTGGTAATAAACACATGGCATGTATGATGTCCATAGATAAATGATCCTATATCAAATCACTTCAGGAAGGTAATATGAAACATTTCAATGATGGATTGTTTTTTATTTTTATCTAAATTTAAAAAAAAAAATTTCATGATGGTGAAAATGTCCAAAGGAGAACTGTTAAGAGTAATGGTAAACTGTCAAAATGAGTGGGCAGAAAATTGTACAGGATTCTTTAATTCATGTTTTATGTAAAATTTGGAAAATCCATACCTTATGATGACTAGCGTAAATCTATTTTACGCTGGTATTTCAAAGCAATATCGTCAAAATTAATACAAATAAAAGGTCAAGGTTAAAATACTGTTACATCAAACCATCTTATCAATTTCATGCAATATAAATTCAAAGAACGATAAATCATGACAAATTCATCATCATGTGACAACCAGATCTAACTGCATATAAAGTACAACCCCTGTATATATATGTATCACATTATGAGAAAAATAGAACTGAACATTTACCTAATAATAAACTTGTGTCAATTTGCACACAAAAAAAAAGAGAATGAACAAATACAATAGAATGCAACAGCATGATTGGGGATAAAAGTTTGATAATATTGTAAAATAAAATGATGAGTAATAAGCATGTTGACCAAATTTGAATATCTGAACGTTTCATTACCTTTCATTACCATTTAGTCATTTATTATTAAAATTATTAACAACATGTTCATGGCGGTAAGATTGTGAAACAAGTTCTTGCAACTTATATTGATAGCCCTAAAGTCTGTCCATACTGCTGTGGTTTGAGGAAACATGGTTGTGATCCTAAAGAAAATGCTGACACCACTAAACCATCACTCTTTCTGAATTAATTAAACTGTTTGTTTGATTTAAAAAAAAATTTAAAAAAAATAACACATACACAATGAAGGACATGTGGTGACTTTACAGCTATACTGGTGGAGGTTGACATCAGGTGCCCCTTAGAGAATTAATTACCCTTGTTGGTATGGTGAATATGAAATTGAAAACAGAAATTAATATTGAATGAGGATATGTGCAAATTTCACTCCCACAAATGTTAATGACGATTGCTTTTAAGGCCGTTTTTTTCTGATGCAACTGTTTTCAAAAATTTATGAAAAGTAAATTCATTGTGTTACCTTATCCAACATGTGCTCTTTTTCCTGTCTCAGAAACTTTCAGACGTTCACATTTAAGTAACATAGGTTACAAAAAATACAAATTGTTACTTCTGAATTAATATATGCCAAGTTAATGTCAAAAAACTTGAATTTCCTTATTTTCTTTAATAGGTTATTAGTAAAGAAAATCATTAATGAACAGATAAGAGCATAATCACCCTGAAGGTATGGGACATTTTGTACACTTACATGTACAATAAATAAAATTACCCTGAAACATAATGGTAAGCCAGTAGGTTTAAAATTAAGCAATTGTTTTATTGTATTATGGTATGCAGCAAACAAATGTTAAAATCATTAACTGTAAAAAGAAGAACATGTCACGGTCATAAAGTTGTGGGACTATGTGTGCAATGATGATGTAACTTGCCTCCTGAAAAATTACCTTAGATATAACACAGGACTGTATTCAACATGTAGAATAAGCCTTACATTAAAGTGACACTATACCCATCCAAGTGTAAATGTTGAGAGGTTAAAGGTAAAAGTCAAAATAAGTTTACATTTTGCCATGACTGTTTCAAATTTCTTATACTTTTTACCAATATTCAGTAACCCACATGGCACACAGAAATTTATATAAATATCATTCAAAAATGTACTGGTAACATTATAGTGAGGCAGTCTTTTCATATTTTAGGTAGTTTTTATATTTCATTCTAAACATTACTTATTATCAATCACTGGTCGATCACCATCAAAATAGTAAATCTTTTGAAAATAAATATCTAATTCAACTTGACAACAACAAAATGAGTATAATGTCACTTTAAGAAGAATTTTAATTTATGTGATCATTACATGTCAACACTTTTTCTACTGTAATCATTTGATGGCTCCTATAGTTTACCAGAGATGAAAGTTTTGTTTTGTTTTTTGATATACAAGCTATAAAAATGATCATCAATTCTGATAGACAAAGAAAAATTTTGATTCACATATTAAATACATGACCTATTTATAAAAACAATCAATCAAATACAAAAGAAACTGTAGAAAAAAATTCATTTTCATTGTATGTAAGCAGAGGTAGATAACAAGCTACAACAATGTGATTAGACTTATAATGTATAAAGCTATATATCCCTGCTGCAGCAGCAGTTTACAAAAATTTTGTGTTGGATTTTTGATACTGAATAATTAATAATAGCCTGAAAATGTTGGTATATTTCCTTTTGAACAAATGGTGTATGCACAAACTCAATGCTAAACGCTTCAAAACCTACTATAAAACCTACTTAAAATAACAGCACTTTAATTCTGTTTACCCACAGTTTTCACGTGTGTTAAATAACAGATAAATCTTTCTAGATAAAACCAAAAAGTAATAAAAAAAAAGTTTTCTTTTTTCAATTCTATACAAAATATTTCATTCAGTATGGCTTTATATCACTTAAAAAAGAAAAGTTCCAAATAAAAATTTCCAGCATGTGCCCTCTTCCCAGCTTCATAATGAATATTTTAGTTACCGCTATTTTTACAGACCCACACAAATGTTAATCATGTAAAAGTACAAAGAACTTACATCAGTTAAGTAACCTTATTAAAGTGTTCTTGCTGACAAGTTTATGGTAGTTTGTTTGTGTAAAAATTATACCTCAGAGAGACACAAGAAATGAAATATTAGTTTCTGAAACAAAGATGTGAGCTTATATCAATTCAAATAACAATCTCGTCAAATTTTCAACTTTTGCATTAATACAATATATCCTTGAGTTTCTATACAACAGCATTTCACACTCGCCTTTTTCCTCAATACAACCATATCAACTACCATCATTTGATTTAGCATTTACAAAAAGAAAACGACAGAAAAAAAGCAAGCACACAAAATTTCTCATTTACATTCTGAAAACTGATTACAACAAATTCTCATATTTTTCACAAACTTCACACTTTTTCACATTTTTTCTTTTTTTAATTCACACTCAACTCAATTATAATTTTCACATTTTTTTTTTTTTTGTGTGTCACATTATGAGATCTACAATAGCACTCCTGTTTCACAGTTTAACAATTACAGTATAACAATAACCAGGTTATTATGCAAAATAACTTTATGACACAACATAGTCATAGAACATAGTAAGTAATATATAATTGAGCCGCGTCACAACAAAACCAACAGTGTGTTTGCGACCAGCATGGATCCAGACCAGCCTGCCCATCCGCGCAGTCTGATCAGGATCCATGCTGTTCGCTTACCAACTCTATTACAAGTAGAGAAACTGATAGCAAACAGCATGGATCCTGATCAGACTGCGCGGATGCGCAGGCTGGTCTGCATCCATGCTGGTCGCAAACCCATTATGTTGGTTTTGTCATGACGCGGCTCATATAATATGTAAACAAAAATATTGCAGTCCAGTTGCCCTACATGATCAAATATCGTAAATAAAAAAGCACAGTATATAAGAATGCTCACAAAGCTGAAATTTGCGCACACAGAAAAAAAAAGCTTCATCATTCCTAACATATCAATTCCAAATATATATAAATATATGCTGTATACCGTTCTTATTTAACAAAATTTTCAATATACATCTGCTTAAAATTCATCCTGCTTTTGAACAAAAAATTTAAAAAAAAAGAAATTTTGTTTGTTTATTGTTGCAAAAAAAGCAATTAGTCCTCTCTCCTTCACAACTCTATCTCACCTTGTAATAATAATAAAAAAAAGAAGAAATTTTGATAAAACTGATTTCAATAAATCATAAAAATACAGAGGTAGCACGGGAAGAGACATTTAAAATGAATCTTAAAAACAGTTTAAACTTACAGCCTTAATTAAATGTTCATACATAATATGATAGAGTTCCATGATGACACATATATATTTATCGTAAAACTGAAAAAAAAATCGTATGTGTTATAACTGGTAACAAAATGTGTATTATACTTATTAGTTGCCTTACAAAAATTACCCTTTCATAGTTTTTATTCCAATCAAATACTTACAACAAAAAGTAGCTTCAAGAGTAAAACTGAACACAAATTAATACTAACACAAAATATATTTTACAAAAAAAAAAAAACCCAACAAAGTTCATATACAAGTTGCAGAGTTCTCTGTGAAGCATTGTCTTTTTAGAAAGAAATAAGACAACTAAAAGCATCAATTCAACTGTCTTTAAATATTATAAAATTAAGAGATATAAAAAATACCTGTTTTCTATTTTGCTTATGCCAATGTTATTAGCACAAATAACATTACTAGTACATAACAAATGTGAAAGATGTTAAAATTTATGATGATTTCTAATCAAAATTCATTTAGGAACTTGTGATAACATTCATAATAAAATAAAAATACAATAATGTGAAGGGTCTTCTTCTGTAAATATGCAAGAACTTTTTTTACTATTCCTGTTATCTCTGTATGTTGGCTTCCTGTCAGTCTGAATCATTCTTTGGTTTAAAAGAATATATTGGTGGTCCTGTAAAAAAAGAAAAATTGATTTAGTAAATGAAGTAACAAAATAATTCGAGTTACCTGTATACTTTGAGTTACCAGTATAATTTGAGTTACCAGTATTTGAGTTACTGGTATAATTTGAGTTACCAGTCTAATTTGAGTTACCGGTTTATATCAAGTATCAGACGTAACTTGTTGATGGCAAAAATGCAACTTGGTAAAGAATTCAAGATATCATTTGAACTACTAAGACATTAATAAATTCAATTGTGTGTAAGTACAATTGTATATGACTTATAATAAATTACTATTTAGTTTGTTTTTTTTAACCTAAAAACCCGAATAAAAACAAAAATTGAAGAAATGTTCAAACACTATACCTGACATGGCTTCCATGGAAACCTCCACACAATCACCTGCTGTATGTTTGACTGACCCACAATTGTGACAGTTTATTTTCTTTGGCTTCTTTTGATTATATCCAGCAGCAGACGTCTGGTGATTGTTATAATGATTATATATCACATTAGAACTACCTGGCACCACCGGATTGTTTGAATGAGACATTCCATATACATTATTGTACAACATATCTTGGGTGAGTCCATTTGGATATGGCATATGATGATGATACAGATGATGAGGCATTTGCATATGCATTGGTACAAAGCCATTTGGGTATGGTGTTGGCCACATGTTTGCGTGCATTTGAGGCAAGAATACACTAGGAACAGCTCCCTCACGGTGTCCGGGACAACCACAGTTAGAACAAGTTGCCGGTTTATTTCCTGTGGTTCCCGACTGACCACTACTAGTATGTGTGACTGTAGAATTACTAGCACTTGAACTCACGACTGCTGAAGAAGCCTGACATCTATGTGCACTGGTATCTGAAGTCTGAGGCAGGTTATCAACATCATTCATTATAATGTTCGGTGATTTACCTGGTGCTACACCCACTGGAGATCCGTGGAATCCCTTCCCTTTACTTCCTGCCACTACCTGGGCATTCCCATTCATGACTGTCTGAGGTTGGGCAGGAACTATAGGCTGGTTTACAGCTGTAGGATGAAAGATATGCCGAGAACCAGTCACACTCACTGGGTTAAAATGAGATCTTGCAATCAGAGACTGTCCCTGGGGAAAATATATCATTGGTCTGTGACCTATATCTGTGGGAGATGAATTCATGTTAATCTCCTTAAAGTAGGGCGGGGCTGCCATCATCTGCACAAATGGTTGAGCACTGCCTTTAAAGTTATTATCAGGCATATTAATAACAACATTGGAATGCGGCTGCATATTATTGGTATGTGCTGGTTGAGCTTTATGTGCACGCATCAGAGGTCGCGTAGATGTAGGATCAGACGTGTAGCCGCTGCTTCCGTTACTTCCGGCATTATTGACATTAACATCACACTTGTCGGACGGCAGAGGAGGGGTACCTCTATTTGAATAAATGTCTTGTTTTAGATCTACAGTTCTCTCAGGACGGGCTAATCTAGCAGAATTTGGGGCCGAGTGCCCTTTACCTCTCACACTTCCCCTGTACTGACCAGGTTTCTTCTCTGAAAAAGGCAAGTTTGAACTAAACTTTCAAGTATGCAAAACTGAAATAAAGCATTTATCATTGACAAATGGTAGTGAAAAAGTAAGTTTATATCAATGGGCACTTTTGTTAATACATTAACATCTGTATGCTATGTTAGGGCAGTATGCAAATCATATGATCAATTAACTTTACTAGAAATATTAGAATCATATCATTTAAACACAGGGTGTGAAATGGTGTTTTTTTTTTTAATTTCTTACCCCTTTCTCCATCTTCAGATGAACTGTCTGTATGTTGATTCTGTTGCTGGGACTTATATAACATTGGTACCTGTGGCAGATGGGGGCTAGGTGATGGGCTTGAATACTCTGAATTGGTTGGGGACATGTCCTGTGTGACGGGTACCATTGCGGTACCATCCTGGAATGTTGGGTAGTTGAATACTGGTGGGTAAGCACCGGGAGGATGATACTGTAATGGAGGCATGGGTGCTAGGCCAGGTACTGCTGGGTGGGGTATGAAAGCCGGTGTTTGCCATATCACCCCTGTTTGTGGTGCTGGCTCAATCAGTCCATTCAAATAGGGTGGCTGTTTCTCTCTGAAAGCATTAACATTGCTGACATGACTTTGTGTATACCTTCAATACATATTCCTTTAAGTCATTCATCACAAATTCCATAACTCATATAGACTTATCAATCAGAAAAAAAACAACCCAGCTAGGCATAAATTATCCATATAAACAAAAGTAAACTTTAAATGAAACCGAATGTCCCAAATGTGGTCATAAACTCATAAACAACATATAAAACTTTTTTTTCTAATCCACTTTATAATTTCACAAAGTGAAATACTATTGAATAAATTATCAACTTTTAAGAATACACTTGGTTTAGCATTACCTGAGTTTCTCCAGCACTACTGCTCTTATTGCACTAATATCATGTTTTGGCACATCCATCCTTGCTATATCTTCAATCCTCATTGACTGGACCTGCAATTATTTAAATATTTTACTCAAATAAAGAAACAGATTACCATGTCAGTGACTAATAAGATAAATTTCTGTGCCAGCACCTGTCTATAAGAACAAAAAAGACTTATTTGCAGATAACTTAATTTCATATAAATCAGGAATGAGCAAATCTTAACAGAAAGAAGACAAGAAAGTGCTCCAATTAGGCTTCAAACTTCCATCATATTCAAGCTAAACTATGACTAAACTAAAATTTACCTTTAATTCATCACTTAAACAATCTATTGCATTTTTTGTAAAAAACATACACTATACATTAAATGTTCATGATCAATGAAAGATTTACCTGTTCCAATGTGTAGCCAAGGAACTTCTCAGCATGGTTTGCTAGGTTATTAAACTTCAGTAAATTTGTAACACTGCATTCCTCTGAATTTGAGCCTTGGCCCATAGCCTCTGTGCTTTCCAGCCTGGAACCGTCTTGTCTGTCTGAATTATGAAGACTGGTCCCCCCTTCAGATTTAAGAAGTCTGGTACCCTCATTGCTATTTGCTTGCCGACTAGTTTCATCTCTATCATGTACAGAAGGGGAACCAGGCACACTGTTTGCTGGAGATTCCATGGAGGAAACAGGAGAGTGGCAAGGGGAGTTAATAAGTGGAGAATTTGTTTTGGCCGAGCATGGACTGAAATGAGAAAACAGAACATGAACTGAATGAAAAATCTGACATCTTTGTACTTATCCTTGAATATAAAATAACATTGTAAGAATGTTTCGTTTTTTGGGTTTTTTATTGGGTTTAACATCACACCAATGAAGAATAGATTACATAGCAACTTTCCAGCTTTACTGGTGGAGGAACACCTAGGGTGCCCCTCTTTACATTATTTCAGGCACAAGCGGGGACCTGAGTAGAACGACTGACATTCCTGAAGTTAGCTTGATAGCTTCCTCACATGAAGAATCTGAGACACAAGTGGGGCTCAAACCTACAGTAGTTAGAGACAATTGGTTTATGTTCCCTTTTAACCATAGAGCCGATTTTGACAAAAATTATTAGTTAAAAAGGGGCATAACTATAAAATATAGCTTTCAGAATTATGCCCCTTATCTAACAACTGCACCTTTTCATAAGCAAGCAAGTAGTTGATAACTTTTGTTAATGTTTGAATAATGGAATACATATGACCACGACAAGGACTATGCAGTGATCATAATAATTTGACTTTTTCTTTGAAACAGGTGAGCTAAATAAGTAAGTAAGTATTGACACAAAAATCCAAGGACACTGATTCAGCAATTTTTCATCAGTATATTAATATATTTCACATACAAACGGGAAAGAATATCAGCAAACAAAATATAACGTACCTGAGAGCAGCAGCAGCCTGGTAAGCTATTTCATGATGAGATGGACTATTGGGAGATAAATTACACATGTCCCCTGAAAAAATATAGTAAAACTCTCTTTATGAATACAATATACAATGTACTACACATGTCACCAAAAAAATTATAGTAAAACTCTTTCTTTGAATACAGTGTAACTTAAAATAATAATTTAATAGACAACATTAGCTTTTTCTGACAATATGACAACATTAGAATGTGCAAAATCATTTTGTTGAAACACTCTGTACAATGACCTGTTCCATTACTCTTCAACTTTAAAATAAAATTTTATGTCTAGCATAACATTTTAATCAAATACCTGCCTCTGACAACTTGGTTCATCCTTACATAGAAATTTTATCAGTAAGAAACTTATTGTTTCTTTCCACCACAGGAGGATATACATTATAAAGTGAAGTTAATAATTCAAAATTCTGTTTAATTTCTACACAAAATTTCAGCTTTTCTGCAAGTACCTAATATTTGTATTATTATCTTAATAACAATTTTAAAATTGAAACCTTATGTTAATATAATGACCAATCAGATATACTTTTATCAAATGGTTTACGAGGGTTTTTTTTTGTACAAGCTTCTACCCCGTATTAAATCATAAGATATGAACCTGCTCTGTTTTGTATTTTTAAAGAGTTTAATTTTTACCCTTAGACTGATAGCGGCTACAGAATCTACCCATGCCACTAGTGCAGATCAAGATCAGCTGGCATATTCCTGCTGTCTGATCATTGTATTTATGGCTATTCAGTCAGTACATATATTGAAATTTTCCCTAAAAATGATGAATGGTTTTGTCCAAATCAAAAGATAGACAAGTCCATTCAGCTAGAAAAGTGGTAATACGAGAATAACATTATCAACAATATCTAAATCCTGGAGGCTAAGCATCCAACACAAACAGTAAAGATCCTGGTCAGACTGAACATGTCTACAAGCTGGTATAACAGTGGTATTATAGAGGCATAGTTATAGATAAAATTCAGATAGTAAAAAATTCACTATCAGTATTTAACCTTCAACCTATTGAATATATTAAATTGGACTTGTCAAACTGTTCATCATCAATTTTAGAGATTTAAAAGTTAATAAGCCAACAGTATATATAGCTTAAGGCCTGACTGCACTGATGAACAGGATCGCCAGGCTTTATACAGGTCACAATGATATATAATATATTTTTGGTTCCAGCAGGGAAATGGTTAAAGCAAGAGTCTTACCATTTATAGGTGACTGTGAGAAATATGGGGTGTATACATTTGAGAAGTGGCTGACCAACATATGTCTGGTCTATCACAGCATCTTCATCTGAAACAACAATAATCAAATCCTCGTTGAATAACCGTATAAAGTATTTTGTTTTGTTTGTCAAACACAACACTTTAAACTGACCCCATTGTCAGAGGTTTTGACACAAAGGGACTGGAAATATTTTTTTTAGATTTGTGAACTATTTGATGTAGTCATGGACAAATAACTGTGTGAAAACTAGTGACATCATATTTTCAAATACTGTTTAAAAAGTACCTAAAAAGTACCTTACTTCACTGTACAATTTATTGAATAAAAGAGTGAATAAACGACAAATTTCTTTTTGGCAATTTTAACAAAAAAGTCGTACCTCCTGAGTTTGGTAATCGCTGTACAACAGGTACATTGGCTAATACAGGTGGGCGGGGACTAGTACATGCATCGGTCATCTCTACTGGCCTTTGCATCGCATTCTCGAAGAACAACGTAAAGAAGTTACTCTGTCGTATGTGCTCGGGTAAGTTGGATAGTGATGATACATACTGGCTAAGTACTTCCTGGTTCTCGATTCTATGGTTCTGCGTACCTGTGATTCAAAGAAATTTTTTTTCCACCATATACCATAAATGAGTGTTAACAGATTCAAATGAAATTATATAAATAATGCAAGGCCAGCTACGTCAATACATAAAAAGTCAACGTGATTTAACAATTGTAAATGCTTACAATGCTTGTTTTAAATATAATATTTTATTCATGTTGCTCAGATGTAATGTATTTCTGTTGGAATTTCTATTCATCTATGATAAATGCTCTTTTTGCACATCTGAATACAATCTCTCTACTGTGAAATAACAGATACATTTTACTGGGAAATTATCAATATACAGTCGGCATCGTACTTGCGTCCACCTTTATTAAGCGACTTTTTTATTAAGCGGCCGCATAAAATCCCTCCCGATGATTTTTACTATTTAATTTAATTTCATTAAACGACTATTTTATATCGCGGCCAGCGGCCACTGAATGTCGGCCCAAATGTACAAAATTAAGTGTGTTAAAGTATCTATTAAAAACGGCCGTGACAAACTATCGTCCCTGCGGGCATTCTCACCTGTGTAATTAGCGAGTAGGTTAGATGTGTACAAGCAAACAAACAAATATTTTTCATGGTCAATGGTCACAAATAATTTGTCGTTTAAAAACGAAATGAATAACAATTGCAATTGTTTCAAAATCGATTTTCCGATCGTAATATTTATTGTGACATATATTGTCAGAGCAATAACGTATCACAACACCGCATTTGCATAGTTTTGTCATGTGCTCAGCAGTGACCTCCCTTATCGAAAATGACGTCGGATCGAGCGAAAAAAAGACAGACAACTAATAAGACCGGATAAATTTTATGAGGAAATCGTGCATGAAATTGAGTCTGAGTAAATAGCAAATGTCATCGATTGTAGTCGAAATAAAATCGTGAAACGTAGTGGACTAAACATTACAGAACCGAGCCTTTCATTGCTGATGGTGTAGGTGCTCATCTGAAAACTTTATAAAATACATGTAGTATCCCAATAAATATGACCCTTCGACAAAAAAAGACAAAAAATCCTAGATCTCTAAAAAATCTTATTGAATTTGAAATCGGGGTTAGTGTGAAAACTAATTATTAAAAAATTAAGAAGTTTATTAAAAAATTAAGAAGTTTAAAACTCATTGCATAAAAAAATTATCTGGAGTGGCTCTTGCTGATGATTGTAAAGTATGTTCAGCAGGAGATGTGTATGAACATATTAAAAATATAAGACAACATGCTTTGTTTCATGGTCAAAATGACCTGTTGACAGTATTTATGAGCGTAGATCACATTTGTACACAAATTTCTACTAAAAAACAAAAACATAACAATATTGATGACTATTTTTAAAAAAAGGCATATTAAAATGTAATTATAAACTGTTTATACATACATAATATTGTATAGTTTTTTGTTTTTATAAAAAAGATGTTATTATATCTATGACTTGTAATAAAATGTCTCGAATGTTCCAGAATTCTATTGAGAGACCACTTTTTGGCAGTCCCTTGAGTGGCCTCTTAATACAATGTCGACTGTATAATTAAAGGCAATATTTTAGTACTCTATTTAAAGACATGTATTACTTAACACAAGTCTAATAATATCATACATGTGTCAAAGAAATCTGTAATTTCAGAAACCAGTTCAAATTGCTATATTTATAACAAGACCTGTCAGCAGGAGAGTAAGCTAGACTATTCTTCAAGAGCTGATAGTTAAAACAAGAGGCCTGAATATGTAGAATTTCTAAGATCAAAAAAAGGCACATAATTCTGTCAAAATCCATGTTAGAGTTCTGGGCCTTGGAAAGTGACCTCCTATTATGATCTCAAATAAGTGTGTGAAGTTTCAACCAATTCCCTTCAGTAGTTTTCTAGATACGAACACGCACACAAAACTTAACCAAAGTGTGACTCCATTGTCGATACCTAGGTGACTACAGTACGATACCTCTCTCTTTTTGTCAAATAGTCAGGCTAAACTGGTTTATAAAAGCTTAACTTACCTTTAAGTATTGGCAGCTTTATAGTTTCTTCATGAGACAGTCTATCTTCAAATGTACTTATCAACTGAAATATTTAAATATGTCAGTCAGTCAGTATGTCAGTAACAACTTTATTGAACGAGGCAACATTACTGGGCTACCACAGTCTTTGCTATGAGCATCAGGGAAACACATAAAAGAAACATGATACTCGAATGCCATGAGTGAAAATAATTTTCAAAAGTATTCAGCTTTAATATAATAAAAGCCCTGTACTTTTTGTTTATCAATGTTTAACTTTTTATACATATCTAAAGCATTTTTCCCTTTATTTTTTTTTTCCCTTTCTGCTCATATGCGGAAACATGTGGGTTTTTCCTCAATTAAGGGTTTTAACTACCGTATTCTGGGGGCCATTTTGTGAGGGAGTATTGAAAAGATTAAATGCAAATAAAACTGTATTTCCCCTTTTTTCTTTTTATTATTTTTCCGTAATAAAATTTTGTAATTGCTTTAAATTGGGAAAGCATAAAAATTTGAATTTTCGTTTAAATGAATTTTTTTCAAAGGGGGAAACCCCTCCCCTTTTTTTGAAATGACTGGGAGGAAATTTTTCCGAAAATTTTTGACCATTAGATTAAGTCGAACAGTGTTAGGTTGCAAATTTTAAAATATTCATTCCCCCCACCTGTTTTTCCCCAGAATAAATCTTCATTCTATAAGTACAAAATGACCTGAAAATGAAAAGTGTTGCAACGCTTTTCACTCAAATCATGCCAAGAATTGAACTAACAAAATCAAGTTTAGTTTTGCGTACATTTGATAATAGAAGCTTGCCAAGCTTGATAAATAAGAGATTTGCATCAATTTTAATTACGATCACAAAAAGCAAGAGAGGACAAAAAATCATTATCTACTCAAGTTAAAGAAGGTATTCAGCATATTATGAAAGAGAGATTTTCCAATGACCTTTGCCTTAATCAAACTAACATATGAAATTTAATTTATTTTCATTGAATATTTTTAATTTCTTTTACAATATGAAAAATCACACTGAAACCCATCGTTCATTGTACTAGGTCTGATTGTTTTTTTTTAATTATGGAAATCCCATTACAGCTTATTACAATTTCAGCACAGTAGAAATCTATGCACATCTAGATATATATATCTCTCTACCCAAAAAAAACAAAAACAACATGACATATGATAATGTATGGCATACAAATCATGTCTTAACATTATACCTCAGCAAACTTGCAGATTTAAGCAATGGAAAAAAACCTCATAAATAAACAACCGTTGCACTGAGCACGATACCAATTTTTATTAAAAACACCACATATTTTTAAGAAAAAATTTTTGATAATACTTTTTTTTTTTCTATTAATGTTAAGGAAAAAAAAG